TTCTGTCCGTGTGCTTCGGATGTGTGCGCTCAGAAAACAGTATATTAGAAGTTTAAACTCATATGGTTTAAAACGCATGATTTCAGTGCGATAAACATGATAATCAGAACCAAAACAGATGTTTTTAGCAAGTCCAAGCTATAATGGTGCAGCTCTATTCTGGAAAATGGGGCGGGGAGCAGCAGCTCATTTGCATTTAAAGAGACAGACCCGGAAATTTTCAAAATGTTATAATAAATGATCTGTGGAGTATTTTGAGCTGAAACTTCACAGACATATTCTGGGGACACCAGAGACTTATATTACATATTGTAAAAAGGGGCATAATATGTCTCCTTTAATAAAACATTTAATTTCTAAATTACTTTTTGTTTTTAACTCAAGGTTATCAGTGGAGCACCTGTCAGAAGTCGGAGGCTTTATCCAGATTCTTGGTGAATCAAAAATCTTAAAAGAACTGAAGTAATTAAAACATCCTACTTCAAATACAGCCATAAAAATATTTGAATAACTAATAAATTAATGTATTCAAAAGAATTGTTTGATAAGTTATCTGTTCTTTTGACTTGGTAGAGTTCAGGAGGATGAATACAGTGCTGAGAGTCCCAGATTGTCACTTGACCTGTCAGTCATTCATGGAGATGTTTTGTAAGAAACGTTTGCACATACAGTTATGCGATTTTTATGTCCGGATCAAGAACACTGTGGCTATCATTCATAGTGAGTGTACGATGTTTCTGTTTCTCGGTCTGTTTCAGTTTGTCTTTGAACTCCTCAGAGAAGAATCTGTCACTTCCAGCAGTCTTAAACATCAGTCTTACATGTCCACAATCAGAGATATCCAGCACTGACTGGACACTCTTCTTACAGAGACTCAGCAAGACAGGAAAAGTAGCAGAAGAGTAAGAACAATATTCAATTTTGCCATAATTTGCTATTTATCTAATCAGTAGCTTTAATGTTATTCATACATGTAATTATCAATTTCTGCAGCTCTTCAGCTCTTGATGAGCATGTCAGTTTGCTGCTGTCTTCATTTCACTCTGTGGGTTTGAAGACACTGCATCTGAAGGTGGTCAGTCTGAATAAGAGCTGGGCTTCTCGGATAATTTCCCTCGTCCAGACTTGCACCAGCCTACAGCAGTTTAGGTAAGATTATTTGCTTTTATCCATGAAACTGATTTATGTCCTCTGATATAAGGTACAATGGCCCCACAATGTTATTTGACGTTTCAAGAGATGAAAATGAAAATTGTCATCATTTACTCACCCTCAAGTTGCTCCAGACCTATATGAATTTCTTTCTTCTCAAAAACACAAAACACAAAAGCCGATATTCTGAAAAATGTGGTAACCGATCAGTTGATGTTCCCAATTGATTTCAAAAGTATTTGTTCCATACTACGGAAGTCAATGGGGATCATCAACTTTTTTGTTAATTTTTCACTGTAAATAAAACAACTATTGACCAGTCAGCATCAAGGAGCTTCTGTTTAATAATACAATAGTATGACTCTGACTGAACAGTCTCTAATTATAATTAAAGAATTCAGTGTTTTGCAATGAAAGCAGTGCAAAACACGTTTTAATAGCATGTTATTATGACAAATCTTTTTTTACTGATGTTTGTGTAACATTAATATTGTAGTGTCAGTGTCACTGGTTTGCTGCTGGAGAAGGGACTCGAGTTACTGTATGAATCACTGAAGGATCCAAACTGCACTGTGATCATTGAAGGGTATGTGATATAAATATATATATTAGAGCAGAGCTTCTAGAGTCCCCATTGTTGGGTCACCAACTGACAAATTTGAAATAGTCACCATATTGATACAAATCTAACAATATCATGGTTTCTTGTTTATTGCAAAAGATTAAGCTACATATTGGTGATATATTTTGCATTTTTATTCTGGTTTCTTCCATCTTTCTCAAGGAGGAAGTGCAGTAAACACACTGACCAGTGCAAAGAACAGGACTGGAGTCACAGCTGTAACGAGAAAGTGAAGATTAAATTCAAACCAAACATTTTGAAAGAGCTGGAAGAGTGAGATGATTTTATAGTCTCACGTGTTTATCTTTTATACATTAAGTCATTTTATTTATCACTGCTATCTCTGTTCTCTAGGCTGAACATCTCTGAACCGTCTAGACTGAATCTTCAGCCGCTCCCAGTGTGTCAGTCTTGTGTTCACATTGGTGATTCTGATCAGTGGGTTCAGGTGGAGCCGTCAGTCTGTACAGTTGAAGGAGGGTCAGAGTTCAGGATCAGCACTCCGGCAGGTCGATTCGAGTGCAGCAGGACCAGAATGCGATGGGTCTGTGCTGGTGACGTCACTCTCCAGTACCGTGCAGTGGATGGACGTTTCCTCAGAGCAGAGATGGAGAGGCTTCAGTGTGAGAGAATTGGACCTGTGATTGATGTGACCGTGATCTCAGGGAAACTGGAGGAGGCCCATCTGCCTCATTACGCCTGTTTAGCAGAGTCAGACCCCTCTCTTAAAGATGATATAAAGGTCCTCAGTGTTGAAGAAGAGGGAATATCCTTGGAATCAGTGGAGTTGACTCGTTTTCATGCCAAAATACTCCAACCATCTTTTTCTCCTAAAACAGTGCTTATAAAACTAAGGATATCAGTGAAAGTGCACTGTGATCTACTGATCTTCATGACACAAAAGAACCCCATCATTCTCCATGTGTATTTCTTCCCATCAGATTTACTTTTTAAAGAAAAAATTAAGATTGAGGAAAAATCGAGTCAACCAGTCAAATGTCCAAGACCTGAAACCCCACTGCGGATGATGAAACAACACAGTCTTGAGGTTCCTGGAGCTTCTGTCCAACCCGAAGCAATCAAACTAAGAGGTGACATCGAGCCAAACTTCTTCAAGGTCAAACATCCTGTGGTCAATGACATCAATATGACTCTCAGTCGAGTGGATGATCAGAAATCAGTTTGGACTGCAACAATTTGGAAAGAAGAATTAGCCGAAACAATTGCAAGCAAAGTCGAGTCTAGTTTGTTCCAACGTGGAGAAATACAAACAAAACCACAAGGGTCTATCAACTTTGATAAAGTTAGGTTTTTCGATAGAAATTGGTGTGCTCTTATTAAAAGTGTTAAGAATGTGAACGGCATTGCAGACAAACTGCTTCAGAAGCAGGTCATTAATGAAGAAATGTATTCTAAAATCACACATCCGACTTCAACTAAAGAAGAAAGCATGAGAGAGATCTGCAGCAAAGTGCGTAAAAGCAGCGTCACTGTGAAAAATCTCTTCATCTCTATCGTTCAGGAAGAGGAGCCCAGCCTTTTAAATGATTTGCATTTATTGGACTCTCAGCTTTAAAAGGTTAAAGTGATTTAAACCCACAAGTGCAGAGAGAAATGTGTTTTTATGCTTTTATACATTTCATTGTAAAATTGTTTATAGGGAAGAGTGGGGTTTAACTCCCTTGATCTACGCAAATTTTTTTGTCAAGTGAGTATATATTTAGAAAGGAATCAACATATGCTGTGACTGAAAGGAGCATGTGAAAAAAAGTGGAAAGCATGTTTTATGCAGTTTTTTTTTTTTTTTGGGGAGGTGTCACTGTGAGGCTCTGTGACTAATAGTTTAATAATGAATAATAATTTATGCATTTAGCAGACGCTTTTATCCAAAGCGACTTAGTGCATTCGGGCTATACATTTTTTTTACCAGTATGTAAACTAGAGGCTCTTATTATGAGAAGGACTCTTACTTTGACATGGGACTGTGAACATATATGTATTTTTTTTCTTCCTTTTTTTTAATTGCAATTGAAAGCATAACAACAGTTATGAAGTAACGGGGCAAATGGACATCATCACATGAAGTTGGATAAGCTACACAAATTAACAAAATATACCAATGATAAAGAAGAAAGAAAAGAAAGTCTTTTAAAGATAGCTTACTCAAGAATGTTAAAAGTTTTAGAAGCCTTTAAGTTCAAAGGATTTGACATATTCTTAAAAAAAGTAAAAAGGGACTTATATCAGATGAAAACATTCTAAAGTTAGGTTTGCAATGAATGGTTCTGGCTTTATGAAGGTGAAATTTACCCAGAAGACAGCAATAAAACAATATGTTCCAGATTAATGTCTTTGGAATGAAAATCTGACAAAAAAATGATAGATTCTGTTATTTCTATCATTTTGTTACAGCAGGAAAAAATTTACATGGAAACTTCTGACCAAAAAGACTTGGTGAATGGGCAATGATAAAACAGATGTAGAATAGATTCTTCATCAGTATTACAAAATGAACACATTGAGGATATATTCTCAGAAAATCTGCTCAAAAATAAATTACAAGGGTAGTATCTATGAGCAATTTTGAAATGGAGTTCTTTCATTTTACTTGGGATAAATAGTATGCAAGGAAATGCCCATACATTTTTTATTTCAGAGTTCGCAGTGAACATACATGTATGCATACACTTCCCTATCTGTTTTGCAAATTGAACAGTTCTTCTTCTTTGACGTTTAATGGCGGTTGGCAAACCAGCTTTGGTGCATATTCCGTCACCTACTGGGATGGAGTGTGAGGCATTGATATCAGGAGAGAGAACAAAAAATTAATACCACCTACCCTACCTTTCTATATTTTCTTATATAACTTTGTTGCTTTCAAAAAAACAAAAACCCAAAAAACAAGAGCTTCATATCCTTTGTAAGAACTGTTAAGTATATTCTGCAAAGTTAAAGAATTTATGCCAACAGAAATTAAATCGTTTTTTAATTGAATTCTTTCCCTTTCATATGCCATACAATTGATTATTACATGCTCTACAGTTTCTGGAAGTCCACATTTATTGCACTGACCAGAACCATGTTTCCCTATCATTTGAAGTAATTTGTTGAGGGCAGAATGACCAATTCTCAGACGAGAAATTACCGTATCTTCCTTTCTGTTGCCATAACTAATTCTAACTAAACCACCTTGTTTTTGTATATTATACAGATGACGACCTTTATTTCCTTTATCCCGTGAGCGGAGGCCGGCGGGCTAGAGTGAGGAACGGCCGGCAGATTCGACGAAGGAGCAGCCGGTGTACGGGGGAAGTCGTGGCCTAATGGTTAACCCGAAGGTTGTGAGTTCGAGTCTCAGGTCTGGCAGGAATTGTAGGTGGGGGGAGTGAATGTACAGTGCACTCTTCCACCTTCAATACCACGACTGAGGTGCCCTTGAGCAAGGCACGCACATGTCACGTCACTTCACTTCACGTGTAGTGCCGAAATTTGCACCCTGCCAGATTATGCACCCCCTAGTACTGGTAGGTTTAGGATTAGGTGGGGTTGGGATTAGGCAATCAAGTAGCGACTTCAAGGAGGGGGTGCATAATCTGGCAGGGGCACAACACCGGCGGGCTTGCGGCAACCACATGTTGTTGATGTATTCCCCTCAGCGACTAGCATGGATCAGCTCTAGGCATGACAAAGCAGATATCGTCCTCTTACACTCCAAAGAGAAAGGAAAAATTTAAATTGCATCATATGACCCCTTTAATAGCTGTTTTAATTAAAGGGATATTCCACCCCAAAATGAAAATGTTGTCATTAATCACTAATTAATTAATAGCCCCATGTCGTTCCAAACTCGTAAAAGCTTCGTACATCTTCGGAACACAATTTAATTTTGGATGAAAACCGGGAGGCTTGTGACTGTCCCATAGACTGCCGAGTAAAATACACTGTCAAGGTCCAGAAAAGTATGAAAAGCATCGTCAGAATAGTCCATCTTGCCATCACTTGTGACTGTCCGATTGACTGCCAAGTAAATTACACTGTCAAGGTCCAGAAAAGTATGAAAAGCATCGTCAGAATAGTCCATCTGCCATCAATGGTTCAACCGTAACGTTATGAAGCGATGAGAATACTTTTTGTACACGAAGAAAACAAAAATAACGACTTTATTCAACAATTTCTCTCCTCTGTATCTCTCCACATCACCATAGCGCCATTTTGTAGACTATGAGCTGAACGCAAACTGCGTACGCTATACTGTGTCAGCCGCGCCACAAGGATACGTTTTCTGCGTGTATTTACGCTTTGATTTGAAAGAAAACAGTGCACCCACACAGCGCCGCTGACACAGAAGAGCGTACGCAGCTTGCGTTCAGCTCATATTCTACAAAATGGCGCTACGGTGATGTGGAGAGACACTGAAATATACATGTATTTTGGTTCATTTCAAATTGGTCAGAAGGGGGTGCAAATGTAATGGTAGGCTGGAGGAAATGTCCAGTACCTTTCAGAGAAATCTCCAAAGTTCTCCAGAAGAATAAGAGTCCACCGTCTCCGTATGATTGGAATGTCACACTGGAAGACACAAACATAGAGAAATCTTTAAATATCAACTGTTACAACAACATAAAGGTCAATTACTTTAACTGATAACTACTTACAGATGTAAAATCGAACGGGTGCTCCCAAGACAAGATGTACTGGAAAACAACAAAAAAATAAGAACATTCTTCCTGTAAATAGCACAAAAAAAAACTTACTTGTTCCTTATTTAACAACTAAATAATCACACCAATAATTGGTTGCAAAAATGTATAGTATAGCCTAAAATAAATAAATAAGTACACAGGCAAACTATTATGCAATAATATATTGTGAGTACATATATTAAACAAACAACTCAAGATATGCATACCTCCACAGACAACTGTTTTGTTGAAGTGGATTTGAAGATGACTTTTTAATTTGACCAGTTTAGCTGGCTTAAACAACCTAATTATTTATTTAGCGAAATCCACCGACAATAGTATTTTAATACGTTTTCCTATAAGGGTAGCCTAATGGTGCGTTCAAGTCATGTCGGATATATCGTATTTACGAGTTGAACGCACATGAACGCCACCACAAAGTCGTTATTACGAGTGGGGAAACTAGAAATTTTCTTTAAGCCCCGAGTTTCCGAGTTGGGGGCGTGTCAATGAGAAACATGGCGGAATCGATGGATGCAACGTCTGCAGTTGACGGTAAATTTTTGTTTAAATTGGTAGTTTAGTTGTCCTATAAACTTAAACTGGTCATGTTCTTGTTACGCAGCTGAAATCCAAGTAAAAAAAAAAAAAAATGTTTTGCACCTATAGGTGAAAAATATTTTGATTTGCCATGTTGCATGCATTTAGCTAACAGCTAACAGCAATCTCTGTATTTTAGCACTTGTTGATGCTGAAAATCAGTTATACTGGGATCCTGGTCTAAAAAGGATCTTTTTAGATAAGGATCTAAAAAAATATTAAAAACGCAAAACACACCTGATGCGAATTCTTTGCTCTTCATTTTCTATAAGCAGAGTTAACAGACCCTATTGTATTTTCTTGTAATTAGGAGGACTTATAAATCCCGGATTCCGATCGAAATTCGGAATATTGTTTCTGTTCGTACTTCGTACGTTTCGTACGTTTCAGTTTGAGCTTCTTCACAAAAGTAGGCTACGTTGCTCGGGAAGGGCCCAGTCCAACTCATGGGGACAGGGATCTACAAAATTATCTATAGGGTGGCAAGATTAACAAAATATCAATATCCACAACACCTATAAATGTTTCATGATGTTTCATGAGCTTGTAAGAGTAGGTCTCTCATTAGTTGGCCTGCATGGAAGAAGTTATTTTATTAATATGCCTATTATGTAGACCACTTGAATGATAGGCCTATATAAAACACGTTTTAGTGCATCAAGTTTATGAGCAACAAACGCTTGAATTTGATAACTTTAGAATGAAA